GTATAGTAGACAACAAACATGGTAAAGGAAAATAAGTCACACAAAAGCCCTTAAGTTTCAGGCTTGCATGGGGTCTAGGTACTACCCTCTTGAAGTTCAGTTGGTTTCAACCTATCCTAATAATAGTAACCGGGTTCTAGAGGTTCTCAATATCACTGACCATCCTCCATCGGTCATGGTTTCAGCTTACGCAATCTTTTCTTGCGGCCGGAACTATCTCGAGAGTATGGTCTCAATGAGTGTAGTATCAAGTATCAACCAGTTCTCAGCTTTACACCGAGGCCTGCTATCTCACTACTCCCTATGGCCAAGTTGGTCAATTATAGGTTCTAAGGTCAGTTGATGCTTAACGACACACATAGCAGCTGCATATTCTCCTCGTTTCTCCACAAGGGATAACGGTACCAACCAATGCGCCACATCAACGTAGCTACTGCTTTAACCGTATCGGTCTATGCTATACAGTTCCCTCACAATTTATTGCTACTTACCTAAAAGGTGTTCCCCAGATCCGAGTTAGGATCTATAGTAACTCCCAATACAAAGCCCTCAAAAGTAAAGCAATCAAATCAAACAAGAGAAGCAATTTATGATGAGCTAATCCTAAGGTATACCCCCACTTATTAAGTCCCCAGCAGAGTCGCCAGTTCTATGATACGGTGGCAGAACTGGACTGTTTTAGGAAAATGATGGTTTGCGTTTTGCGTTTGTATTCGCAAAATGTAGCGGTAAGAAAGAGTCGCCACCGACTTTTATTTTATCCAACTGGAAAGGACAAAAGCACAGAAAAATTCCTTTTTCGAGATTTTGAGTACGGGGGTAGATTATAGAAAGGGAAGGTATTAGCACCCTTTATATCTGTAGTTTTCTACGGGCTCTTAGGTACTTTCTCATCATTTTAAAAATTGCTTCCGTGTTTGTGTGTTTTGAAAAGTTTTTGTTTTACTTCGTTTTAACCCTTGTATCAGTCCTCAAGAGTGTTACGAAGTCGTTTTGAAAACTTTGTTTAAAAAAAAGTGTAAGTGTGAAAGTTTGATTTTGAGCAAGTACCTACTAGCATCTACCTACTCGAAAAAATAATGTTTTTGTTCTTGTTTCCTTTAGACAACACTATCCCACTATTAGTGAGTAGGTAGCTCCGTCGTTGGAGTTGTAAGGGTCAATTCGAAAGGGACGTACGATCACTAAAGCAATGTTAGGACGTCTTAGGAATAACCCTAATGTCTTAAGATCATATTCGAGGCAACATTTCCGAGGCAACCTTTCCGAGGGAACATTTCCGAACGGGACTTTTGATCTTTGTTTAGACAAGAGAGCGACCACTAAAACACCCTATACTTAATGATCGTTTACCGAAGGCAACCGAAGTGAGAGTATACCCTAGGAGTGCGCATGTGCGAGTGATTTGATTTCAAGTTATTATCTTTGCACATTTAGGGTTTGCTAACCATTTTAAAATTAACATACATTCTTGTCATGCAATCCTATTATCATACATCTAATAGTTAATATCTGCGAAAATTAAAATGCGAGAAATAAAACTACGCTATTACAAGGCTTCGGGGAAGGGGATTAATTACTTAGCCAAAAACCCGTAAAAACGATAAATAAAAGGAAAAAAACCTAATTAAACTATTACATCCCATGAGCAATTACATTAATATCGTAAAAATAAATAAACGCATGATGAATCGAGAACGAAAGAAAACTAGGGTTTTGACCCCGTCTAAACCTAATTAAAAGAAAAATCATTTTTTGTTATTTTTGATTATTTTAAGGAAATAAGGTTTTAAATTAAATAAGTACAAACCTAATTACTAATCAAATTAAATTAAGAAATTTAATTAATTTGACCTATTTTTTGTATTTTAGTTATTTTAAGAAAAGAAAATAAAAATTAAATTAAACAAAACCCTAATTTTCTAATTGATTTTAATTTATTTACAAAAGGTTAAAATTGCCCTAGAATTAAATTAAACTAATTAAATTAATTTTTACAAAATATATAAAAAAGACCTAAATTTGATGAAATTGATTTTTATGAGTTTTTTTGTATAAAAAAGAATTAATTTGTGATTTAGAAATAATTTAAACAAAAATAAATAAATAAAAGAAAATATAAAAGAAAATAAAAAGGGCCTGGTGTCAAAGTAGAGAGGGAGTGCCAATAGCAGATCTGATCCCAATAAGCATGGGTCCACGTTGACCTTTCTACTTCAATGTTGCACGTTCGACTAGGCCTATGGTAGACCATCACATGCCAGGCGTTGGATTTGGCTTGTTGGACATCTGGCTGGATGATCATTGAGGACGTATGGTGGATGTCCTGGAAACCTGCGCATGGAATTATGCATAGAAAAATAATATTGAAGAACAAGGGGGCCTGGGGATTGAACCCAGGCCCTTTGGCAATTCCAAGCGCTTCTTGGCCAACTGAGCTAGCGTGCATATTTGTATATGGGAGAACAAATAAAGATTATATGGAAAAAACACAAATTATCATATGCCAGCGCGCAAATTTTTGAATGGATGAATGGTGTGTTGCCACGCGACCTTTCTTCTTCCTTCTTCCGTTGGCAAAAGTCCAAGACTTTTACCTACAGACACAGTCTGTAGCTATAGCCCCTGCGATTTCCAAAATCTCACACAAGCATCATAAATGAAAACTAAAGGTACAGATCAATTCGTCTTGACCTTGTGAGCACCCTGACACCCCTCTTTTGGGCCAATTTTACTTGTAATCAAAACCTCTAAAAACGAAACCTAAACCCTAACAATGGTGGATCTCAGTATGGCTTCCAAAAATGCAATTAAATGGTACTGTTAGCTTGCAAACATGATAAGGATTACAAATATGTCATTGAAACATGATAAAGATGCAAGAATAAAGGGATACATTTTTGAAAAAAATGTCAAACCGTGAGGGTCGTGGAGATGGATTCTGGGCAAATCAAGGCTTGATTATGATCAGGTTAGCTTCAGGGGATGGTTGGGAATCGATTGCTAGCCTTGGAATGGTGTAAATCGTCCTCTAACCTGCAATTTGATTCAACACTTTTTGGTGATTTTTGCAAGTTTTTCCCCAGCTTCTCACGCCTCTAACCCTTATGCTTTTGGCCTGCCAATGTTCTATATGTAGCCTTGAGTGAATTAGGTTTACAAATTTGCATCCAATCTTCTCCAATAATGATCATTGATCAAGATTTGATTCTCATGTAAATCTTTCCAAAATAAGCCAAAAACCAATCTTTTTGTGTACAAACAAGCCTTGCACGATTTGATCTCATTTCCAGCTATTCATGGACCTGAAATATGCATAAAATCTCAAGGTTTAAATGATTTTGATATTTTCATGATTTTATTTTGATTTAATTTTATTTAAATGAAATAAAAATCAAAATAAATGACAAAAATAAAATAAAGGCAAGTGGGAAGGATCATGGGTCGTGGACCATGTTACAAACTCAATACAAACACAAAAAGTTGGGCCCATTTGACAAAAATTGCAATTTGAGGCATATTTGACTTTTGGCAATTTTGAAAAAAAGGTCAACTTCAACAATGTATAACTCCTTCAATTTTGATCCTAGAGATGTGTTCTTGAACTTTTTAGAAAGCTTGAGATGTCCTCTAAGAAACCCTTTTGGTCTCATCTCAATTGAGTCTTCCATGTTCATGTATGAAGCTTTGACAAAAAGGTGTTTTTGTTGACTTTTAATAATGACCTATAATGTCCAAATTCATAACTTCTTGTGAGTGCATATTTTGAACTTGGGAGCTGAAGATTAATTGTAGGGAATTGCATCCTATTAAAAATGAGCTTTGGATGGGTCATTCTTGATAAATTATGAGAAAGTTATGCTTGTTCAAAGTTGAGTTGACTTTTCCTACAAACCCTAATTTAGCAACTTTTGAGTTTTGATGAATTGTGAGCAATCCTTGAGGAATCATGATCAACCCTTAATAAAATGATGAATAATACTTCAAAATGAGAATTTAGACCAAAAATCTTGAAGTTTGACTGTATGTGGGCCACAATTGACTTTTTCCCTAGCACAGTCGATTTTCAAGTCTTTGAGCAATTGATTGAGCAAACTTCCTCTGCAAGGCTTGAAACTTGACATGGATGATATTTAGAACATATTAGGACAATAGTGAGCATTTGGGATCCCTTGGACTCAAGTTTCTTGATGCAACATGAAACCCTAATTTGAAGTAGACTGCCTTAGGAGAGAGCTTGTCTAGTGAACCCTTGGACTTCCTTGAGCAATTTGAGAACTTCACTTGAAGTGTATTGAGAAATATGGGAGGGAAAATTTTGGGGTACAACACAAATAATTCACTATGGTGGGGTCCATCAATTGAGAAAGGGTTCTTAAAGACCTCTTCGTAGGATCTATTTCCCATTAGTCCAGATGTTCACCCAATTACTTGAGATACATGATATAATCTTTGGTTCTTGAGCAAGAAAAGAAGAATATGAGCCCATAATTTATTAACCAGGGTTTTTTCAATAGTTGCTTTAAATACAAGTTCTTGAGGACATGAATGATTTCTTTAAGAGATCAATATAGTTTATTAGGGATCATGGAGTCAATGTGCTAACCAATTTCTTTTGGTTATGGTTTGTTGAAATGTGGAGTTATCCCTATTCAAGGATTATTCAAGGATTTGTCACCAAGTTTCATTGCAAGTGTTGATTCAAGCATTAAGATCCACCCAATATCCCATTCATTCTTCATTCATAAGAAAGTTCAATTCAATTATTTGAAAACAATGGGAACATGATGATTTTTTTTATTCGATACCGCATGATATATTCAAGTCACAAGGCGTGAAGAAAGGGTGCTACAAAATCAATTCAAGTTCTATTTAAAATTCCATTCACAAATTCATGATATCAAAGCCGTTTCATACATCAAAAATCAAAACATAAAAACCTAATCTTAAATCTTATTCAAGTTTTTCTTCAAATGGTCTTCGTCGTGCCAAACCAACTTTCATGCTTCCGTGCTTAAACCCCCAATTGCTTCCATGTCTTCATTTCGTGTACCTTGCAGTGTTACACCATAATTCATGCTCAACCGTGTATTTGACCAAATCATGCTTGCCGTTAACCACAAACTTGCATTCATAAAACAACCAAAACAGATCTCGGCATTGAAATTTCGTTGACTTGCAATATAAGGCAACTCTGTATCAAAACAGATTCAAAAATATGTCTGTTCAGGAAAATTAAACACAAAAGAAAACCAGAATATAAAGAGAATTAGAAGCAGGTTCATCAGAACAAAACTCCAAATTTATTGTCAGTTTTGAATTCCTACTGATTTTTTGTTCAACTGCTAACTTTCTCACATATTTAATCTTCAATTATCCTAACATCCAAAACATAGAAAAACCTACTTTAGAATCTAACATCCAAAGCCACCCTGCACACGCATATGAACATAATCAATTCACACATTAACACCATAAATCGTTCACACCAGATCATACATGAATTAAATCATGTTGCTACCATGTCCAAGTATAATCAGAAAACAAGCAGAAGTGCAAAAATATCAAAAAAGATGAATATATGGGAAGTTTTGCATCAGAAAATTAGGGGGAAATATAAAACTTAGAGAAAATAGGAAGCCGTGGAAATATCAGTAATTCAAAATAGGAAATCATAAAAATTAGAAGTAATTGCATCTCATCATAAAGTTTCATTTGCAAGCAAAAATCAGGATCAAATCTAACCGTCAAGTCCTATAACTAACTTTTCTTCAATATAACAGAAAATGAAAATCAGTTTCGGAGCTAACTTTTATAACAGGATTTCAGATCAATCCTAGCCAGTCAAGCCATAATAGAACTAATAAAACCAAGGGCTCAGATGAATTCATCTCTAACTATTTTTCTAACAGAGTATAATAGAAAATTACCTTGCAATTGCTTCATTCTTCAACACACAGAAGAACCACCAAAAAAATATCTGAAAAACTCTCTATTCTCCTCTCATCTTCATCTTCTCCATTCTTCACTTCTTCTGGAGAATCACCAACCAAAAAACCCTCATAAAACTCTCTCTCTCTCTTCTAACTGCATTCTATACATCAATCCATAACATAACTTACCAATTCTTCTGCAACTTCTTCATCCTCCATCAATATTCATCAACTTCTGAACCAAGTTCTTCATTACGATTCCTCAATATTCCTTCATCTTCATCACAATTCTTCAAGCTCGCTTCAATTCATCATCAACACCATATCAATACGCATCGAGATTCTGCATAGTCATCATTGTCACAAATCTACAACATTCAACACCCTCCTTCAAACTGCGATGAATCCACAAGCAACAATCACTTGCTATCGAAAACGAACAAGAAACGGGAACACAGAAACGCAAGCTAAGTAAGAAGAAGAAAGAATAGAATTAACGGAAAAGAGAGAAGGATTACTGGACTCGCGTCAAAATCGCGTCGGAGTTTTGAAGTTGTTAGACTGTTGCTTGGATCCACCGATCCGCCTCCGCCCTTGAGGATTAAGAGAGGTTCAAGGTACCATTAGAATCAGAGGAGAAAGGAGAACGTATTTCGTGTTGAGCGTTCGTCGTTTTGGCAAGTGAGCCAAGGTTTTGTCTCAGCATCCATGACCGTCGCGATGAAAGTTGTGTGCATCCATTGCATTTTCACGAACGCGTTGAAGGAGATGAGCTGAGAGGGTTCGCAGAGGTGATATATGAAGACAAGTGATAAAACGGAAGGATGGAGGCCAATGATAGAGACGGTGTCGTATGGTGCCGACAATCCCCCTTTGCGGAGAAGAAGAACTTGTATTCTGAATTTCACAAGACGCTGAGGAGTCACGCCCAATTGAACCCTAGCTCTACAGCAAAACGCAAAGTTTCTCATTCATGGATAATTTTTTTATATTTTATTTATATTTTATTGAAAATTCTGAACAAAATATGGTAATGGACTAATGGTTATGCTATGGGATTGGGTCGAACTCTATGTTCTCCTCAGGTATGTTATTACTTGTTTTTGCAGTCTGGAGATTATTCAGTAAAAAATGCTTCATGGATATTGCTGGTTGGGGTTTGGGACAACTTTTGCAATTTACACTCTAAATCCAGCATGCAGATCCTTTTTGTTTGGTAAACTGAATTTCCTTTCAATAATTCTGCAATTTTTCTTGTCATTAGTTTTGATAGTATAAAATTGTGATAAAAATGATACAAAAAATAGTAGAATATGCTAGTTGATTTTAAAATTTCTTTTATAATTTAATTGAGAGTTTGTCTTTAAATTCTTTCATATTTCATGATTAATTCTTGTTTCTATTCTTGTATTTGTTTTGCGATAGTATGTTGATTTGGAATGTTAAGCGCTGAGGGATTAACTTGGTTGACCGTTGGTGGAGATTTTGACATCTTTCTCATCGCTTGTGTGGCTTTGAAGAGACAATAAACCTTCTCTGATAGTACTGATGCAACTTTTGCAATGTGAAACGCTTGGAGATTAACTCGTTTGATCACTTGTGCGAAGTAGCTTCTGTAGAGTTTTCTCTTCGCTTGCATGGTTTTGAAAAGGCAACCGACCTTCTCCATTAGGTATCATCGTGACTTTATTTTATTCTTCATTTCCGCATTTTACCGCTTTTCTCGATATCATGAGAAGTAGGAAATAAAGAGCATGCACTCGAAGTCAATGTTTAAAGACCTGCAACAAGCAACAGGCATTCCACACTTGTTTGCTAATTGTGCTTGTGTTTGCTTTCATCTTTTAATGGTTGATGATGTCACTCAATTTCGAGATAACGACTTCGGCTTTTGCATGCTCCCCATAGGATTTTATTTCTTTCTTTGATTGACGATTGATGATGTCACTAAATTAGAATTGAGATAATGACTTCGATCTTTACATGCTCCCTTAGGATTTTACCGCTTTCCTTTATTGATGATCGATGATGTCACTTAATTAGAATTGAGATGATGACTTCGATCTTTGCATGCTCCCTTAGGACTTTATCGCTTTCCTTTGTTGATGATCGATGATGTCACTCAATTAGAATTGAGATAACGACTTCGATCTTTGTATGTTCTCTATAGGATAGTGATCCTCGTCCCTAGGGTTTTGCATGCTAACATAGATAGACATTCCCTTTTAGCATTTTCTTCCTCTATTGCATATGCATTAGAACTAAAACCCTTCCTTTTCTTTCAAACTTCAAAAATACTCTAATAATACAAAAATCTTTTTTCAAGGTAATAAAACACAAACCAATCAAACATGGCATCTTTCCTTCAAGGCGTAACTCAAAACTATTTTCACAAGAGTTCGTCACCCATAAAAAACACAAAACAAATAAAACATGTCATCCGAACTACGACTCTCTGATTCCTCGAAAGGGATACGTAGGCAACAGGCCGCGGGGCCTAACCGAGCAAAATTCGTAAATACTTCCTTCTTTTCCCGCATTTCTTTTGCATGCATTTTTCCTTAATAGTAAGTAGTAGACATAAATTTAGACACACCTATAAGATAGATAACAAGAGTGGATAGCATAAAGTACTACGGGAATATGGGGTGCTAATACCTTCCCCTCGCGTAATAGACTCCCTTACTCGATCTCTCGGTCGCAAGACCATGACTTCTCCCTTCTCAGGTTTTCTCGATGTTCTCATATCTTTTCATGTGGGATAAAAGACGTTCGATGGCGACTTCATTGTTTGATGATGTTCAGTCGGTTGTTTCACACAGTTGGTGTTACATAGGCACAAAAGTTCGCAACCACGGTAGCACAACTAATAAAACTTTCTTTTTGTATATACTTTACATGCATTCTCTTTTAGCATTAAGCTTTAGACATAGTTTTTTATACACCCTTAGATTAGAACAAACTTGAGTGGATCATGTGGAGTACCACAAACGTGAGGGGTATTAATACCTTCCCCTCGCGTAACCGACCTCCTTACCCTTTTTCTCTTGGTCGTGATGACCATGCTTCTTTCCTTCCCTCAAGTTTACTCAGTGTTTCCTTTCCCTCTCTTGGGATAAATAACATTGATGGCGACTCTTCTGTCTTTCGCCTCCGTTCGCGCTTCGATGAAAATCCCAGACGTGTCAAATCTTTGTCGCCTTATAAAGCTTATTGATATTAAACATTCACTTAAGGATCCTTCTCTCCTTATCAGATATATTAATGATGGACCTTCAATAAATGATCATTGTCGCCTTATCAGGAACACTGAGGTTGGACCTTCACTGAAGGACCATTGCAGCCTTATCAAGCATATTAATGATGTCTATTCACTAAATGATCCTTGCTTCCTTATTAGACATATTAATATTGGACAGTCACTAAAGTATCATTATCTCCTTACCAAGCACATAAACATTGAAATGTCATTGAAGAATCCTTGCCAAAACAAATTTGACTTTCCCTAGGGAAATCTTGAGGGAATTGACCCAAGAAACACTTGAGGGGCTCACCCTGAGCAACACTTAAGGACTGGGCCTAGCGAGGAATTTATTCTGCTAGGGCATTATGACAGAAAGAAACCTTGAAATTAATTGTAATTACGAAGGACGAAATCCAAATTATATAAGGAATATCGTCACAGAACTTGAAAGTTTCCATTAATAAATCCCAAAGGCTTTGGTTACAAAAGAAGCCTATAAAGGGCGGTGATATAATTGTTAAATCATAAACCAAAAACATCAAAAGGTATAAGTTCGAGACGAGTTTGATTCCTCAAGTCTTTGAACTCTCCCCAAGTAACGCTTGAGGGACTCGCCCCAAGCACCGCTTAAAGGACTCGACCCAAGCAATATTGAGGGACTCACCCCAAGCAATGCTTGAGGGATTCAATTATCTAAGTCACGCTTGAGGAACTCTTCCCAAGCACCGCTTGAGGAACTCGGCCCAAACAACACTTGAGAGACTCAACTATCTAAGTCACGCTTGAGGGACTCACGCCGAGCAATATTTGAGGGACTCGACTATCTAAGTGTCGCCTGAGGGACTCGTCTATCTAAGTCTCTTCCGAGAGACGCAACTATTTGAACCTTTCTTCGAGGGACTCAACTATCTAAGTCTTACTTAATAGACTCGACTATCTATGTCTCGTCTGAGGGACTCGACTCTCTAAGTCTCGGCCAAAAGAATTACCTCGTATTTGATTTAAATGACTTTGCTATTCTCAAATCCTATACTTGAGAGATTGTGGACTAGGATAATCCATATACTCACATAATAAATATTGATATATAATAATTAAATAATATTTAAATATAAAATATTTCAATAATTTTATTTAACTAGTTAAATAAAAAAAATCCAAAATTTTAATCTAATAACTCAAACTAGTAGATGTTTTGGTTTTACATATTGTAAGAAATCCAATATATGAACAACTAATAATAAAATGAGACCTAAAAGTTTTTTTTGGAAAATTAACAATATATTAATCCAAAAACTATTACATCACAAGCCGATCATAAGATCCAGGCAGCCAAAAGACTAATTCAGCAATACATGTTCAAATTCCCCATTTCCCCCAAACTATGTAGTAAAAATCATTCTATACTTATCCAATCCCAACCTAATCTTTTCCTTAATGTCTCCCATATTAAGGCTATCTTTGGTTTTTCCTTGGAAAATCATACAGTTTCGGACTGTCCATATGCTGTAAAGAGCTTCAGCAAAGGTGACCTTGATCCTCTTGCTAGAAATTGATTTACCTTTCGTCCTTTGCACAAACCAATCAAGGTTCCATTTTCCATTCACAGGCTTCATATGGATCTGCAACCAATCAAGCAAAATGTTCCACATATCCTCCGCATCATGGCATTCAAAGCATAAATGGTTAATACTCCCCTTATCCCCATATAAAACACAACGGCCATCTGTTATCACGCCATGTCTACTCAGCCTGTCTTTGGTCAGGAGTCGGCCAAGACAAACCATCCAAGCCACGAAAAGCGTTCTAGGTCTAGCTTTATTACCCAGGATTATATTCCTTCAATTCACCTTCACCTTATCACCTCTTAGCATACTATAAACCCATTTGGTACTATAGGACGGGGCTTTAAAAAAAATATCCCATTTATCCAATTTCATCAGCATATCCCTATTTTTGAAAATATATTTCAGAAGCCAAGAACTATGTACCGGTACCTGGAAGTCCTTGCAGCTCCTGACTTTTATATAAATCTGGTGAATCCATTTAATCCACAGTTTGTCTTTTTCGCATTGAGGTTCCATAACAGTTTACCGACCATGGCCTGATTCCACTCCAGCAAAGATATCATGTTCAACCCACCAGCGCTTATTGGATTGCAAATTTGGGCCCAGGAAACATGCGCCCTGTTGGACTTTTCATCCTTACCTGCCCATAGGAATCTCCTGCATAATCCTTCAATGTGATGGATAACTTTTTTAGGCAGAGCAAACATCTGCATCCAATAATTGGCTATGGAAAATAATACATTCTTAACTAATAGAAATCTGCCAGCATACGATAGGAATTTTGTGCTCCAATGATTTATCCTGCTGAGCATCTTGTCAATTAGAGGCTTGTAGTCCACAATCTTCAGTTTTCTGCAATCCAATGGTACTCCAAGGTATTTTACCGGTAGACATCCTTTGGCAAAACCTGTGACTTGCAACACCCTTCCTATGCTGACTTTGTCCATGCCTCCACAAAATACTTTGCTTTTCTGACTGCTAATCTTGAGGCCTGAAGTCATAGTGAATACCTCCACTTTCTGCATCATAATCTTAATTGATTCAACATCTCCCCTAGCGAATAATAGAATATCATCAGCAAAGCATAGATTTGTAATTTGTAGTTTGTCGCATTTGGGATGAAAATTAAAATTGTGGTTTTTCTCCAAGCCCTGCAAGA